ACAATCCGCCAAACTTTACTTTTTGCAGACAATAACTTTGATAACTCTAACCGGTATTACAAGGTTCGCCCATTACTTGAGGGAATACGACAAAACTGTATGGCCCAGGAAAGCGTAGCAGGCGAACGCACTTTCAGCGTAGATGAAATGATGGTGCCGTACAAAGGACGGAAAGCAGGCAAAAGACGCCAATATATGAAAGACAAGCCAACCAAATGGGGCTTCAAAATGTACAGCTGGAACTTCAGGCATGATCTACGATTTTCTGCCATACGGGGGCGATGATACATTCAGGTATCACAAATTCACTGATGAAGAGCAAACGATAGGATTTGGTGCCCAAGTTGTACTGGCACTTTGCCAGACTATCCGGGACAAACCAGCAACGGTTTGTTTTGATAATTTCTTTACGTCGCCTGAACTTGTTTATCTGTTGCGTGAAAATTATTTTACCTTTTCTTTAGGCACTATTAGAAGCAACCGCCTTAGAGGAGCCGAAAACAAATTGGTGAGCGAAAAGGCACTAAAAAAGAAACATAGAGGAGCATTTAGTCAAACCGTATGCAACAAAAACAAGTTGTCGGTTGTGAGGTGGCACGACAACAAAGCGGCTACTCTTATCAGTTCCTATACTGATGCTGAATTGGTCCATAGGATCAAAAGATATTGTAAGTTTGCGAAGAGGAAAGTTGATGTTGATTATCCTAATATTGTGAAGGAATATAACAAAAACATGGGCGGAGTCGATTTATCTGACATGCTGATCGCCTTGTACAGAACTCCATTCAGGAGTAAGCGTTGGTACATGGCAATATTTGCGCAAATGATTGATATTTGCGTGAACAATGCGTGGATCCTGTATCGCAAACATAAAGGCTCTGACAGTAAATACTGAAAGATTTCCGGTATGAAATATATCGTGGTTTAATCAGCACAAATAGAAGTGCTAAATATCAGAAAACGGAAGAAAGCACGATCAAGCACGTTTGTAAACCAAGACCAGCTGACAGTTCACATTATGATGGAGTTGCGCACTTTCCTTCAGTGAAGGAAGAAGATCGTTGTATGTACTGCAATAAAAAAACTACGATTTATTGCCTGAAATGCGACACACGCCTTTGTTTTGTGACGGGCAAAAATCCAAGAAACTGTTTTTTGAGTTTTCATGTTAAATAATGCATGATAAATGCTTGCACGTTCTAATTTTATCTGTTTTATTTGTATTTCTAATAATAACTTTATTAATCTGTTATTAATTATAAATCACGGCTTATTTGACTACTTACTTTGTTACCAACTTCTCCATCGAAAAAAGGGTTAATTAAATCTATTTATGGTCTTAAACAATCAAGATGTTGGAATGAGAAATTTTGTACTTTCCTAACTACTTATGGTTTCAAACCCAGTCCATCTGAAAATTGTGTGTTTGTGGGGTATTTTAAAGGTTTCAAAGTAATATTAATTATTTATGTTGATGATGGATTATTATTGGCCAAAAGTAAAGTTATTTTGTCTGATGTGTTAAATGATCTTAAAGAAAAGTTGGAAATTAAAAATATAAACTGTAATTCATTTATTGGTATGGAAATAAATAGAGAAAAGGATTATATAAGTATAAGTCAAAAACAGTATATAAAGACAATAATAAATTAATTTAATTTGTTAGATGCTAAAGGTAGTTGTACTCCTGCTGATGTTAATGTACAATTATCTAAGAATACCAGTAATGAGCCTAATAATTTCCCATATAGAGAAGCAGTAGGAGCATTGTTATTCTTGTCATCTGTATGACATAGCTTATGCTGTGAATGTTGTTAGCAGGTATGTGAATGATCCAGGTCCTTCACATGTTACAGCTGTGAAAAGAATTTTACGTTATTTAATTAATTCTAAAGATATGTCTATTGTTTATAAAGGTAATGTAGAATTAGTTGGCTATTCAGACTCAGACTTTGCAGGTGATTTGGACACTAGGAGATCTAATACAGGTTATATATTTTTAATGAATGGAGGTCCTGTCACTTGATCTCGTGATAAACAAAATACTGTGGCTTTATCCACAACTGAGTCTGAGTACATGGCTGCTAGTGAAGCCGCTAAAGAAATTTTATGGCTTAAGCAATTTCTATGTGACATTGGGGAGCCACAAAGCTCAATTACTTTGAATGTTGATAACCAGAGTGCAATTAAATTGATTAACAACCCTGTGTTCCACAGAAGAAGTAAGCACATAGATATAAGATATCATTTATCATAGATATAAGATATTTACGTTCACACGGCATTGTCCTGCACGTTTTTTTTTTGCAGTATACGTCTTAAAGTATAAATAGTGACCATACAACGTACATAGATCCATTCACATGTCAATTGTACTGCAAAGAAACGTGTACCGCTTATATGTACGTTTAAACGCACACTCAACGGACTTGTCAAGCAAATCGAATGAACTTTGACGTATTCGGTTCGCAGTGGCATATGGTATAGCTTTGTCTCCTTCACACGACACGATGTCATACGTTTTTTCTTAAGCTAGCTATAACTTTACTTTGAAGTGCCTCAGAAGTAAGAGTAGTTTGCTTGGTGCCAGAATATACACTTGGTGGTCTTAGAAGTTTGATATTACTTGAACTTAATAAGGATTCTATGTCTTTAAATCCTCTGTCAGCTATTATTACAGCACTTGGATTTAAGTGAGATATTAAATTACTTTTCTCAACAAGGGCTTTGTCTGATATTTTTCCTCCATAGCCTTTTGAAATAAAGCTTATAAAGCCATAGGGAGCACAACCTATCAAATATTTTACGGTGTTACAACTTTTGTACTGAGACCAAGTCTGGGCTTGCCTTACAGGATGTTCATTCTGTTGTATTCAAAACAATCAATTATCATTTGTACATCTGAATATCTTATTTTAAATACTAAAGGTAGCTTTTCTTTTATTTGTTTGGACTGAGGACGATAAACAAAATTTTGTAAGAAGTTGGCCAATACTTCAATCCCTAATAATATCATTGATGATAATTTTGTTCGAGTGACATACAATTGATCACTAATTCGTTCTAAAGAGTCATTTTGCTTTATTTTGAGTAAAGTGACAATAATGTAAAGGAAGTCTATTTTTGTTGCACTTTTTTCTACAATATGATCAATGAGCCATAAATATTGTTTGGGTAAACCTAAATACATTTTAGATTTATTTAACACCATATCTAACATTTTCTTTCTGCTTTTTATTACATGTTTACTTGCATCACACACTGAAGACTCTTCAGTTTCTGATGTACAACCAAATAAAGATGGAGTAGCTGCTGAAGAAGTTTCTTGAGATGATAGCATGTCAACTATAGTAATATTAGTATTTATAGCAATCGGTTAAACACCAGAATAGGGACTCATCGGTTTGCTTACAGAATAGGGACACTGTTAGTGTGGTATGTGACGGTACATGGCGACACAAAAACAATATCGAAAATGTGCGGGTAGATGAAGAGCCTTCTACTTCACGGATTCGACGACGGAGGGCGTGCGCCGATGAGCCAGTCAGCCTGTGACCACGGCCGGTGCAACCTGGTCGAAACGTCAGGCAAACCAGAGGTATGTAATACCCTAAATAAGAGATCGCGTTAATTCCCGTTAAATAATATTAATTAATATTAGTATTTGGCTTCCTAATTTTATAGTTGGTGCTCTTGTCTATCATCTTTATTTCACATTGAGTTGCAGAATTTTTCTGAAAAATAAGTCAAAACTTTTAACTGGTTTATAGACTTTATTAGGTCTTTACCTATGAAATTGCCGTTTTGTATGCAATCAGTGAAAGTACTTATTTTTTCAAACTTTTTTATTTCTGTTATTCGAAATGCATCTTTGCCAACGCATTGGCAGTTTATTGATGCCCTTCTTGTAAAAATCAGCTGGACGGGAGGCAACAAACTCTTCAAAGGCATTTTGTACTGCCTCTCGGGAATTTAATTTTTTACCTACTAAAAAGTTGTCTAAATTTTGGGAAAAGTAATAGTCGGTAGGTGCAAGGTAGGTAGGTAATTAATTGATTTTTGAAGGTGAGTACAAATAAAAAGGTTTTTATTATCGAATAATTCATCTTCTTTTCGATACAGTTATTAGTTTGGAAAATAAGCGTTTGGTTTTATATGAAATCTCGTGTAAATTCATGTTGTAAATCTACAACACTGTGTGTTGTAAACATGGTGGAAAATGGAACAGGGAATATTACGATGAGTGGTGTTTTGCGGCTGAAAATTTGGTGGTGTTGGATGGAATGGACGAGTACATCAAACCACCGGCTAGTTATGAAATAAAGCCAGCGGAAGATGCCAAAACGAAGGCAAAGTTAATATTAACTATGGATCCAGTTTTGTACGTACATATAAGGAACACAGGGAGTTCTGTGTTTTCTCAAGAAAAAGAAGTTTCGCCATGACTAAATAATTGTGAAAATATGGCTGCCTACGTCACGCAAATGGTTGAAACAGCTCAAAGGTTAAATGGTACAGGATTTACAATAACCGACGAATGGGTGGGATCGTTATTATTAGCAGATTTGTGTAATCGTTACTCCCCGATGATAATGGCAATAGAACATTCGGGTATTTCGATAATTGCTGACGTCATAAAGTCAAAGCTACTTGACATGGAAATCGTCAACGAGTCGGAAGTTGGTGCCACTGCATTTATGGCAAAAAATAAATATTACTCTGGTAACACTAAGCCAAAGAAAAATGGCGGTTCATCGGTTTCATTGACATTGAACAAGAAGACGGTATAGATACAATACATATGTATACATATGTAGATACAATCACGCCAACAAAAGAAATAATTTGTAATAAAAGTAAAAATAGCGGACATTATCGAAATCAGTGTCCAATGTTGAAGAAAAGCGGAGGCAAATGTGTATTTAATGTAGTTTTCATCAACGGAAACTTTAACAAGACGGAATGGTACGTCGACAGCGGTGCTAGTGCGCACATGACCGTTATGCCGGCACTACACATAGGCCAACGCGTTGGCAAGCGCGCTGTCCCAGCCACTTGCCCCAATGTGTAGAACGGGCGTTGGCGCATTGGTGGTAGGTATTTGAACGTCGGCCGGCGCGCTTGCGAGCTTGCCGCGCGGTGTCGGCAACATCAAAGGGCACTTGTCGCAAGCTTGGCGCACCAACCACAACATTGGCCGCGCGATCAGTTTGCCCGGAGCAGCGATCAAGAGTGCATGTTTTCTTTTTGCGGCGAATTAACACCTAACTTGACGAAATGGCGAACAATATGAGTAATGAGGAAACATTTAAATTTATTGAGCTCTATCAGAGTGAAAACTGCCTGTGGAACCCGAAAAATAAGTACCATAAAAATAAAAATGTTGTAAGTATTAAAAGTGCTAAATAAATGAGGTTCTTGGACATGCTATTTTCCTCACGATGTTTTACTTCACAGTAAGAGCATCCTACTTTATTATTTTAATATTATAAATGTGAAAGTAAGGTTATTTCTTTGTTTGTTACGTTTTCACGTCTTTTACTTTTTTATTTCGAGAATATATTTTTTTATTCATATCAACTCCCTAATTATTTTTTCAGATCAACGATTCTTGAAAACGTATTGCAGATACAATGGGTGTACCAGTGCATGAAATAAAGAAGAAAAAAGAGAGCTTGATGACAACCTTTCGAACTAATATGAAAAAAAAATTTGATTCGTTAAAGTCAGGAGCTGGAGAAGAAGACGCGTTTAAACCAATTTGGCAGTTCTATGATGCGATGTATGTATTTTTAAAGGATGTATACGAATGCAAAAGCATCTGCAATAGTGAAGAACATGTAAGTAAAACAAATAATAGTTTCTTATAATATGTTTATTAATAAAACATGTAGTCAATTTAAACATAATAGGTGCGTTTTAAGCAATTTGTGCCTGACTGTTATTTCGTCTTTCGAAAATACGATTCATAAAATTTACCCTCGTTTCTAGAGCATTCTCTGTACTTCTACGAGGTACACCTTTCAATGGAGTAATACCTGTCCCTCTATCGGTAGATCTCCAGGATCCACCTCGAAGTAACTCGCCATTAACATAACTGTCTGCTGTGCCATTAGGGGTGTAGAAATTCCGAGAAGTATTGCTCCTTCTCAAAAAATTGTGTAACAATATACATGTCATTGTAATTTTAGCAGCTTTAACTTCGTCAAGTAATCCTATTACAGATCCTTTAATGTTAGCAAATACTTTTAATAATTACTTTATAGATAAAGTTGTACCTGTACAAAATTACGGAAAAAAAGTCACATCTCTCATAGAAAATAGAAAAGACTCTATGTTTTTGTACCCAAGTACACCTATGGATATATTACATATAATTAAATCACTTAAAAACACGAAAAGTGTAGGTCATGACGAGATAGCGACAGTTATTATTAAATCCGTGGGTTTTTTGATATGTCATCATCTTAGTTACATTTTAAATTTGTGTATTGATGATGGTGTTTTCCCTGAACGTCTAAAAATAACTATTATTAAACCACTGCACAAAAAAGGTAGTGAGGACCAAATTAGTAACTACAGGCCTATTGCGTTAATATCTATTATATCTAAAATCTTCGAAAAATATATTTATAATCAAATATACAAATATTTTGAAACAAAATCTTTATTCTGCCATCAGCAAAAAGGCTTCAGAAAAAACATGAGCATTAATAAGGCTATTTATGATTTTTTATTAAACATAATGACTAATATGGACAAACGGACACCTGTATGTGCTATATACTGCGACATGACGCAGGCGTTCGATTATGTAGACTATAAAATATTAAAAAATAAACTAGAGTGCTACGGTGTAAGGGGAAACATATTAAATCTTTTGAATTCTTTCTTATCAGACAGGAGACAAGTAACTGTGATCTCTAGATTGGACAATAGGACTAAAACAGAGGTGTTACATACATCCTCTGAACGTAAAATAAAATTTGGAATACCCCAAGGAAGTGTAATCGGACCTCTCTTATTCATTATTTATATAAATGATGTACCTTGTTCTACTGAGCATCCAATGACTCTATTTGCTGATGATAGTACATTAACAGTGACATGCAAAAATCCTAATTTATATGAAAATGACATCAATAACACCTTGACATCAATGATTACATGGTTAAATAACAATAACTTAAAAATTAATTTAAATAAAACGAATGTAATGTATTTTAGCAAGCACATAGATACCCCGTCAGAAATGAATATAAACTATGATAATGTTGCAATAAGAGAAGTATTTAACACGAGGTTTCTTGGTTTGATCATAGATAAAAAATTAAATTGGAAGGAACATATAAATACTGTCAGTGATAGATTAAGCAGATCTTCTTATGCTCTGTATAAACTTGCGCCCACGGTAAATGTTGATACCTTACTTACTGCATATCACGGATTAGTGGCCTCGGTATTAAGATATGGAATAATTTTTTGGGGCAATTCAACCAATAAATCTTCAATATTTAAGCTTCAAAAACGATGTATCCGCTCTATGTTTGGACTAAAAATTACAGATAGTTGTCAACCATACTTCCGTAATCATGGCATTTTAACCCTTTCATCATTATATATTTTAGAAATGTGTCTCTTTGTGAAAAATAATCCTACATCTTTCCCAAGATTATCGGATACAGTTCAGCGCAACAGACGAGACAATCAACGACTACGTATGCACAGTGCCAAAACTGCTCATTTGGCTAGTAGTGTAATCTGTATGGCACCCAAAATATTTAATAAATTACCAAAAGAGTTTAAGTCATTGAATCATAATTTGTTTAGAAGCAGAGTTAAGGAAATGTTGGTTAAGAAATGCTATTATAATATTCACGACTACTTAAACGATAACTCTTAATTAATTATATTATTATTTTTACAAGGTTTTCTCTTTAGCTGTAACTATTTATCTTGACATACATATTATAGTTTTTTTTTATTTATTTTTTTCATTTTGACATTTAATTCTGACACTATTTTATTTTTGACATTTTTGACATTCCTAGTCCATATAATTATATTATTGTATTGATGATTATTGTGTTATATTTTATTAAACTAATGTAATTACTATCTCAATCAATTCATATTTGTACGCCTTCCATGGCAAAACATGTTGATACACACAAACTAACTAATTGAACTGTTTAGGATTCATTTCCTGTAAACTACACATGTTTGAAGCAAATAAATATATTTTTATTATTATTATTCTCTTTATTAAATTATATATACATATTAATTACATTTTTAAATATATTACAAAAGAAATAAAAATACATTTAAAAATATAAAAAATAGTAGACCACCGACATCGGGTACAGGTACCAAGACACCAGTGGTTAGGACTGCAAAGATAGGAACCTCCTCACTATACGAGCCGTGTCAAGGAGGACTGCCTTCTGTATCAGACCCTTGATCCAGCTGTCCAACGTGAGCCTCTTAAGGTGTTGGTCGAGGCTCTTGGCTATCAATCCGTGAGCAGATACGACTATCGGAACAATTATCACTGAATCGACATTCCACATATCGACAATCTCGTGAGATAAATCCAAATATTTTATTTGTTTTTCTTTTTCAACTTTCACGAGATTCTCGTCATGAGGAACGGCGATATCAACAATAATTGCGCGGCGCTCTAATCGATCTATCACTACAATATCAGGCTTATTAGCAACAATAGTCCTGTCTGTGATAATAGATCGATCCCAATACAACGTGGCCCGACCATTCTCGAGAACTGGGTCGGGCACATACCTGTAGTATGGCACCTCTAGATTCACAAGATGGTATTTAAGGGCAAGCTGTTGGTGTACAATCCTGGCTACTTGGTTGTGCCTATGCAAGTACTCACCGTTAGCAAGACGAGAACAACCAGAAATGATATGCCTGATTGATTCCCCAGGACGATGACATGCCCGACAGATGTCAACCGTACCATCTTTCAGGATATATTTCCGATAGTTATTCGTCATGATAACTTCGTCCATAATCGCACAAACAAAACCTTCAGTTTCTCCGAAGAGATCACCATACCGTAGCCAAGTCGTAGATGCTTTAAAGTCTATATCGGACCCGTTTAGGGCCCGATAAAACCGGCCATGGAGCTCTTTGCCCTTCCATACTTCCCTACGATCATTAGTACTAAATACTACAGGTTTGCGCCAATTCTCTTTAGCCAGAGCGAGCGGGGTGAATCCGATATCCACTGCAACTACATTGCGATGCATTCCCACATCGGTATGTAGAAAATATTCTCTGAGATTGCATATCTCCCGATTGTGTAGGGTCTTGATATTTAATAATCCGCGACCCCCTAGCTTTCGCGGGATATACAATCTCATAACCGATGAACGTGGGTGGTGCATTCGAAATGCAGTCAGCAATGTACGGACTCTCCTATCAAGGGCATCTAGTTCGGTCTGAGTCCATTTAAGTATACCAAAGGAGTACATCAGAATCGGCATGACCCAACCATTGCAGGCTCGCACCTTGTTGCCCCCCGATAAAAGACTTTTAAGTACTTTTTTCAAACGGCCAAAAAAGCGTTCCTGCAACGTTTGTTTCATGTCAGATTCTGGTATGCCTAACGACTGTGATATACCCAAATACTTGTAAGTTTCAATGGCAGACAGAGATCTGAGTGTTGTTGAATCGGAAAGCTCTATTCCTTCAGATTCTACTATCTCACCCTTCTTTACATACATGACTGCACACTTGTCTACACCAAATTCCATTTTGATAGAATTACTAAAGTTTTCCGTCACCTTCAGTAACGCTGACAATTGTAATTTGGTGGGGGCTAGTAGTTTCAAATCATCCATATAAAGAAGGTGAGATATAACTTGATCGTCTTTCTGCAACCTATAGCCTAGCCCTGAACCCTCTAATAAAGTGCTAAGAGGGTTCAAAGCCAGGCAAAACCACAAGGGACTCAGACTATCACCTTGAAATATACCCCGCTCGATCTTTATTGGTGCATCAATTACCGTCGTTTGCCGACATCCTGGATAACGAAGCACTGTTCTCCATTGCCCCATACATGACATCAAGAAAGTGCACAGAGTTGTATCAATTTTATACAACTCCAGCACCCTCAAAAGCCATGTATGTGGAACCGAGTCATAAGCCTTCTTATAGTCTATCCAACATGTCGCCAAACTCTTACGATTACGACGCACCTGTTGGCTAATGGCCCTGTCTATAATAAGGAGGTCTTTAGTGCCACGGCTCCCACTTCTACATCCATTCTGAGAAACTGACATAATCGAATTATTATTAATGTGTAAAGTAATTTTGAGTCTCAGAATAGATGTAAGAAGTTTGTACATGGTTGGTAAACATGTAATAGGTCTAAAATTTTTGGGATCCATGACACTACCAGACTTATAGAGTAAGTGGGTTATACCAGTGGTTAAAAATTGGGGTAATGAACCCGAATTTAAAGCTGCCTGGAATTGAGATGCCAAACACGCATGTGAGCTTCGGAACCACTTAAGCCAAAAGTTGTGCAGTCCGTCTAAACCAGGTGATTTCCAATTCGGTAATGAACGAACTGCACAGCTTACATCATCTTTATCAATTATAACTGGTTCCATAGGTGTTATAGACTCACATGAGCGTCTGACATCCCGCAACCAATCACCTTCTATATGAGTGACAGGCACCGACCAGATGTTCCGCCAAAAAGTATGTGTGACATTTTCATCTGGCAAATGCCCATGACTCACACATGGACCCGGTTCCTCCCATTTCCGGTACACCCACTTCTCATTTCTTTGGAACATCCGATTCTGATTATACCGATCTATTCGTTTTTTGTACCGTCTTAACCTATTTGCCCATGCATAAATTTTCTGCTTTAGAAAGTCTATGCGCTCTGTGACACATGACATGTACTGTTGAGGACCAATGGTAGTCCCCAAGAAAGCCTGTTTCACAAAGCGCATCACTCTCGGCCGCGTATTCCCTGATCGAAAACTAATTAGCTTACCAATAAGCACCCTGGTCTCAGCAATACGACGTTCAATTCTACACTGCCAAGCTGGTACAGTTGATTTAGGTCGAGTAGTAGTGACATTTTCAACTATATTAACACCAGCTACTCGACAAACTGCAACAGCCGCACAATACAG